TATATATATATATATATATATATATATATATATATAACTGTAAAAAATTGAAATTCTGTTTCTGTGGTGTTTCCTCAGCTTAAAGCATTGAAGTCCCTAAATCTGGTTCTTATTCGGTCCCCTTAGGAGAGAAAAGTCCGAAAACAGATGTTTGGTTTGGTGCAGACTTTAGAAGAACCTGAAAACTGAAGACTGTCTGCTGCGTTCAGGGTCTCCGCAAACGTGGAGAAGTTCTGATAGCAGGTGAATTGTCTTTCGACAGGAGGAACCAGGCTGATATCAGATTATTTCACAACAAATTACAGAAGACTGATTATTATTCCATCTGCTGAGATGTCATTGGTCCTTCATACAGAACTTTTCTATTCAAATTTCAACCGTCCTTCTGACACCTGACTGCACTGAAAAATGAAAGCTTCATCTAAACCAGACCTAAAGTATTACTTGCAGCAATTAAAGCTTTATTTAAATAAAACAAAAATAAATACATTTTAATGCTGAATCCCTGAGAAACGAAACTGCTATTTAAATGAAGCTTTTTTTTAAAAGCTAATTAGATAATTTCACTCTGTGGGTGCCTCTGATGCGGCACGTCGGATAGATTCCTGATTTCCCACAGCCCTCCGCCCCTGAAGTGAGCACCTTGTCACGTGATGTTTTGGTCATCATGGCGGCCTCCTTCAGACGGCTGCTAAGTTTAGGGTCCTGGCTGCTTGTCATGTTGTTCTTTTGCGGGTCTCTGACTGAAGATGCGGAGGACTGCAGCCACCTGAGACTCGGACAATATCCTTACAGTCACGTGACGCTGCGTAGCTCACCTGTTCAGGACGTCGGTAGCTCTTAGCTTAGCTTAGCATCAACTGTCATTCTGATTTACCAGATGTTGTTGTTTATCTGTAGTTTTCTGAGCTAAACGAATAGAAATTACATTGTTTAGTTTTTTCTTCTGATCTAATAATTAATAAATAATTTATAAATCTATAATTTATATATTCTAATAATTTGCTAAAAATACAGAATGCATTATTAGCATGAAACATGCAGTCTAAATCATTTGATCTATAAATTCACAGAAACAGAAGAGATTAATTTTTTATCCTAAAATTAAAAATAATGACGTGAGCGGAAATGAATTTAATAACTGATAACTTTGGCTATTTAACGTTCAACAGCATTAAAATGCTTCACTAGTTTTAAATAGGCCAATAACTAATCATATCTCTTCTTCAGTTTCAGTAAATAATTTCTTTATTTTCGATTTTTATTTTCACTAGTATGTTTATAGTTTATTTGTAGGTTTTTAGATTTAAAAACAAAGTTTTCATCACTGATTTTATAAAAATAATCTCTTATCTCAATTTTTCCTCCTTTTTTTTTCTGGATTATTTATGGTCCTGTTATTTTGGTTTGGGGAATTTCTAGAAAAAATAACATGAACCTGACTTGTTTCACTGTGAGGTTCTAGTCCGGCTTCATTATGAGTGGTTCTGTTTGACTCCTTTACTCTGATCACATATCTCTGCAAAGATCCAGAGATCGATGAAGCCACGCAGGAGCCGAAGAACTGCCGGGACGGAGAGGCTAAAGGTGAGCAAAGGCCCGTTTCAAATTCTGGTTCTGGTCCAGCTTTTATCGGTTTGGTTTCCTGGTTCTGAACTGGATGTTACCCGAACAGACCCAAGCGTCCAAACTTGTCTCAGGTTGAAGGTAGATTCTGCTCTGTAGTCGGGTTCTTCTGATTGTGAAATCAAACCAGTTTAGCTCAGAGATGCTGAGAAGAACCGGATGTTTGAGTCCAATCAGAACCAGCAGCCTGCCTGTCCAGTGTTCTGGTTCCCTCTCTGTAAGCATGTCTCTGTGCCTGCAGTGAATTGCTTCCCTGCTCCAAACATCACCTGTCGGCTCTCCAACGGAACCGAGGTCCAGTTCAGCGGCAGTGAGGTGGGCTTCCAGAAAACCATCTCCTGCAGGAACGTGTGAGTGTTTCCTTACTGGTTCTGAGGCCCAGCAGCCGGGTCGGAAACAGAACTCAGCAGGCAGATCTGTCTTTAACGACTCAGCCATCAGAACAGGAGCTCCGAACCGGGTCCATCTGGGTCTCATAAATATATTTTCCTCTTAGGAGCGGTTCTTCCTATAAGGTGGCCGTGGCTCTGTCTCTGTTTCTGGGCTGGCTGGGAGCAGACCGGTTCTACCTGGGATACCCGGCCCTCGGTACCAGCACACACACTCACTGCAAACATTAAAAACTTAACTTGGTCCTCACTCTTATTCTAAAACATGAGCATAAACACACTCGGGTCCGAATGGCTCTAAATAAATAAAAAAAAGTCAAAAAAATCATGATTTAATTTTTATCATTAAAATGCTAAATAATGTTTTCAAAGGTTGTTTTTTTTCTGACTGATTCTATTGAACAGAATTAGAATTAAATTTTTCTGTTTAGGTACAAGAAAAATATGCTTATAATAGCTTGAAACTTTTGTTTATAGATTTTTATTGCATTTTTATTGTATTAGTTTTACATAATTTTACTTTTCAATTTTCTTTAACCATCAATTAATGTTATATTTTGTAAGATTATTTAATATAAACTATTTGTTACAATTTTAAAACATTAGTTTTACTTTGAATCGTTTTAATATTTCTATTTTATGTATTTTTTCTATAATTTTTTTCCTTTTCTTGTTTTGCTTATTTCATGTTTTATTTTTAATTATTATTAGTTCCTCAGATTTTAAAAATGTATTTTTTGTATAAAGTTTTTAATGAAAGTTGCTGAACTGATTAAATTAAAAAGGACGGATGAGTGTGAGGTCGGGCTGAATGGCAGCAGAACCCGGTCCAAAGCGCTGGGTTCTTGTTCCTGAGGAACCGGTTCCTCGCTCTGCTTCACTTTCAGAAGGTTCTGGTTGGAGGACAGCCTGGTTATCTAGACTGGGTCTGTGTGGACCGGGTTGATAACCGGAACCGACCCACTCCAGTGAGTCGGTTCTGGTTATTCTTGCCTGTTGGTGTCATCACTGGGCAGCGAGATTAGAACCAGAACTTTAGCCCAGTTGGTTTAGAGATGTCCGATTCAAAGGTTCTGATGCTCGTGTCCTCTGTGTTTTCAGGTCTGTTGAAGTTCTGCACGGTCGGGTTCTGTGGGATCGGAACCCTTATCGACTTTGTTCTGATCGCCATGCAGGTGGGTCCAGATCTTTTCCTTCAATCAGGTTCTGGCAGGAAGTGACCTTTAGAACCCAGTGGGCCGGGCTGGAGCGGGCTGGCACCAAATTAACCTGAGGCGTCCAGCAGCGCTGCTGCTTTTCTCAGGACCCCTGAATGAGATGTTCTGGTTCTTATCCTGCTGGTTCTGGTTCTGAGAGGATGGGGATACTGAATCGGCAGGGGAAGGACTGGGTCACTATCCGGCCCGGTTAAACGGACCGGACCTTTGCTCTGAAGTCGTCATGGTACTGATTGTTCTGCAGCTTTAACCTGGAAGTTAATCCAGAGAACTGAACCAGGTTGGTTCTGATTGGAGCTGCTGGTTTTTCCCTTTAAAGTCCAAAACAGAACTTCAGAATCAGAACATGTTTGTTTTTAGATTAAATCTATTTGGACTTAAACCCATTTGAATTTAGGCTAGAACCATTTTTATCAAACAGAACCTGCAGTTCTCTGAACTGGACCACTTCTGTGTCTCCTGCAGATTGTGGGTCCGGCTGACGGGTCCGACTACATTGTGGATTATTACGGCGCCCGCCTGACCCGCCTTTCCATCACCAACGAGACCTACAGGAAGCCTCACCAGTCCCTCTGATTGCCCGGGCCGAGCCGTAAGTCCAGGACCAGAACCGGCTTAGACTGTTTCTGAAGCTGTAGAAGCCAGGTTATGTAACTGGGTTTGGACCTGGTTCTGAAGCCTCTTTGGACCTCTAAGATCCAGAACCTACCTGATCCCAGACTCTGTTGTCCTGCAGGCAACTCCGTCCATTTTTTTGGACAACTGGACCTTGCCCACCGACTGGAGGAGGAGATAAAGGTCCAGTGCAGGTGTCCTTCATGTCCTCCAGGTGTCTTCAATGTGTCCTCCATGTTCTCCTGTGAAGCTCAGTTGTTCTTTTCTGTTTCTGCTCTAAGTTATTAAGTTTTGAATAAATATTTCTGTCTCCATCCACGTCTCCTATTGATCTGTTATGACTGGGTCGGTCTCGGTTCAGAGACGTTCTGAAAGGCCCAGTAGGTGAACTCTGAAGGTGCTGCTTGGAAACTAGAGCCACTGAAGTGGATGTCGGTGCCATGGATGTGGACTCCGATGGAAGCGTTTAGGTTGGAGGCATTGGTTCCTCTGAGGAGATCTGGACCTCTCCGAGTAAAAACCGGATCTTCCATGAACACATTTTTATTTCTCATCTGAAACCAAAAGAAAACAAAACCAGAACCATTAGTAACACCAGGACCCTGCATGGAAGGCTGTCCAATCAGAAGGCTGATTACTGCATTAGATCAGACTAGACTACGGTGAGGAAACCAGTTGGTCCAGAGTCGGTCGCTCTTTTCCCCCCACAAAACTGCAGAACCATAAATATGGATGCAAGGGCCAAGAAAGGTTCTGACCTTTTTGCTCTTCTCAAAGAACAGCGATATTTCTGCTTCGGTTCAGCTGAGGAACAACAGGAAGGGAAAAGGGTCCAATGAAGCAGACACCAAGTGGCACAGAAGGTTTAATTTATTGCTTTAAAACACAATTTGATTATTTATTGTTCAAGGAAGTAGAAGTTATAAATAAATCCTCTCCTAGTTGTTCATACAGAGGTATCAAAACAAGAAATGCAATAAAATGGTGACCTGAAAGTCCAGTAAATCAAAACAGTTTTCAGCTGGTTCTTAAAAACACCCACTGAGCGAACAAAGCCAAAATCAGGAGCAAAGGTCCCGTTCCCCTAACGGTTCAGGAGATTCTGGGTGGAGGATCAAATGCTTTGAGCAGCGGACCTGTTGATTAAAAGTTAACAGATACAGGAAACCAAACTATTGAAACCAGTGGAACCAGTATCCTAGGGGGGATGTTGGTCCGATTACTGGATTCAGTGAGAGTTCCAGCTGCTGTGTTCTGGACAGCTTGCAGACGTGAAATCCATGAGCTGTCCAGTAGAGAGAACATTACAGCCATCTAAACGTCCTGACTGATGAATGATGTTCTCTAGATCTGCTCAGGAAACCAACACTGCAAAAGCTGAGCTAAAAATAAGTAAAACTTCCTCTAAAAAGACTATATTACCTTCATCTGAGCAGATCACTAATAACTAAACATACTGAATTTGAAATAAGATAAAGTGTTAATCATTTTAAGTGTGAAAATATTATTCAATTGGCAGATTATTTTAATCTAATATTGACAAGGAAATTATCATTTCAATTGGAAGAGAAAGAAAGACCAATGATGATCTCCCTCAATTTGGGGCCCAGTGTATGATCTTATCCTGTGGGGTCAAAAGGCTCATCAGAACTGTGGGCAGAAACTCCAGAACCAAATTTACAAATAGATTTTAAAAAACTCCAACAATATGATTTCCTAGATTATTTCTATCTCATTTCGTCTCTCATAGTTGAAACGTATCTATAATGAAAATTAGACGGGGATTTACCAAAATCAAAATTCTTGGCCGAAACTGAACACAAAAAATTAGGAAACCAAAGCTGAAAACCAAACACCCAACTAAATTATGTCAAATATTAGACCCATAGCATTTTTGGCACTCAACATCTCTATGTGCTGGCTGTGCCTTTGGTGTGTCGTCACATGTTTCTGTCGTGTTTTTTTGTGTTAAATGTCTATTAGAAGAAAACCAAAAATGCACCTTTGGGTCATTTTTGGACAAATATTTTCGTAGGCTGAATCCTCTGTGTATCCCTAATACAGACCTCATACTGTAGGTAAGAGGTTGACAAAATATATTTTTTGCCCCACTGTGTCTTGGACAAGGGGGGACAGCCTGTCTAGCTTGTTTTGAAAAAAAAATATTTAAATTAATGTCATCTGTGTAGAGGTGTTACTTTATCAGCTAGTGGAAGAATGCAAAGTGAAAATAATAATGTGTCTAGAACGGAGCCTTATGGGACACCTCAAGTCAGAGAAGCACAGTCCAAGGAGAACCTGTCAATCTAGAAGAGAGCTATTCTAATGCAGAATCGTAAACACCAGCCAGAACCGTTAGCCTGTGCAGTAAAGTTGTGTGCTGAACATTTTCAAAGTTGGCATTCAGATCAAATAGGTCCAACTCAAAAGATTTTCCCACATCAGCAGAGATTGATGTTAACTCTAACTAAAGCAGTGTCAGCGGAGATTTGACTTAGAAAGCCAAACTGGTAAGGGTCCGACATCTGCAATCATTTGAATTAGGTGTGCTGCAACAGAAAGTCATCTATAACATGCAGGGCAGTGGAACATGCATACCTGAATCAAGAACAGCTGTTCTAAAAAACTGAGAAATATCTTAATCGTCATCTGAGGTTGATGGGGTACATTGAGGCTGAGGAGATGCAGTGCAGTTAATGGTTCTTATCAATAAATTTATTTTTTTTATTTTATTCAGTTTTTTTATTATGAGTATCAGAATAAGATGCTAGAGTCATTAAACACAATAGACTAGAAGTTCAAGCCACATTCATTCAACAGCATCCGAATCAAACTAAACAAAAGGAGGACATCTCTACAATGATGTCCTGCATTATGTTGGTTTCTGCACTTAGATTACGGCTCACCTGGACCCCTCACAGCTTCCATCTGGAGCTTCCATCTTTAGAATCTGGAGGTCTCGTTCCGTTTGGGCCTGGCTATAAAGGATCATATCAGTACATTATTGATCTGCAGCACATCCACACCCCCTGAGATTAATGCTAATTGGTGTGCGGACGTGCAAAGCTTTAACACTCATCCCTGATTGGTATTAAATCACGGGGCGTGTCTGAGGTCCTTCATTAAGTCAATGTTGCCGTGGTAACTTTTACCTGCTGAGGAGTTAGGAGGACTGATCTCCATCCTAAACGTATCCCCTCATCAATATAAAAGCAGCGTCAGCCGTTCCCTCCTCTTCCTTAGCTGGGCTTTTGGGACGTGGTTTTTCATTGTATGGGTGAAAACTCCATGGTTGTCCCTGATGTGGTCCTGTAGGAAGTATATGTTGCTCTAAAATCTCTGCTGGACCTTTCTGCATTAGAACCTCCCTCATGGAGCTATAGTTGGACTGGGCCGGTCATCCAGGAGCACCATGACTTCCTCCCATCCAGCCTCCATCGGATCCCTTCCACTTTGCCACCAAAGCTGTTTCTGAATAAGCGTGTCTTTGTACAAACTAATCATAGCCTTCATCCTCTTGTTATCAGTACATAGCTTGTAAAATGCTCTTTTTACTGGATACAGAAATCAGTGGTATGCAGGGTCTCCCTTGATCATCGGGTTTAGTAGAAGCTTAAAACAGTCTAAAACCGGTGAGCTATCTGATGTATAGCAGGATTCTAACCATCTGACAAAAGCTTTGTCCTTTTCTCCAGTATAAAGCAGCCTCTTATTAATCTGTGTCCTCTGCCAGAATATTTTTCATTTGATAAACAGGTGTGAGACAATAGTCATCTCAGGCCATGGACCTTTAGCTCTGGCAGTAGACAAACACTCTACTCCTGTCAGACAGGGAATTCATTTTTTTTTTTTATTGAATCGAGGTTGGTCTGGAGGTCAACCAGAACCACGACGAACCATTTCAACTGGTCAGGAATTTTTGAAAAAAGAAATTAGGCACCAGTAGGCAATGTAGTTTGTTTCCCAAGGACACAATGTCTGAGATGAACGGAACTGGGGTTCAAACCAGTGACCCTCCAGTTGGAGGATAAATGGCAGCATCCTATGCCACAGTTTCCCCACTACTAAAACTATGATCTTTGGTTGATTCAAGTTTTCACTTTGGGTTTTTATTTACACTTTGATTTATTTCGTTCTGTGTTTTCTAATTCATTACTTTCATTTCCATTTAATGTCATTTAAAATATTTTCTAGTTATATTTAGACTCTGTTGTATTTCTTAGTTACTCTCCTTTCCCCTAGCTCCCTTCTAGATACTTCTGTCCCCACCTGCTCTCAATTAGTTGATTACTCCATTCATTGTTTGCATTCATTGGTTCAGTCCCTCCAGAAGCCCTGTGTTCCTCATCATTAAATCTGCAAGAAACCACCCAAGCCTCTGCCTTTGTTTCCCAGAAACCCCCCCTGACAGTACCCACTTCTGGATTCTTATCCATTAGCAGCCATTAGCATCCCCCTCAGGGGCCAAGGGTCTGTTGCTGAGCCAGACAGAGAAATTCAGAGCAACTTTCTCCTTTGTTGTTGTGACTTTCCCACCTGGATATTGTGGGCAGTTTTTGTTCTCTGTTACCCAAAAAGACAACGATTACATCAGTTGCTCTATCTCTCTATTTAACACGGACTCTAATACCTTAGGTATGGTTCTGGCTAGTCTACCTAATAAGGACAATACATCTAATCAGTCCGGTTTTGTTAAAGCACATGTGTTGACCTTGATTGGGCTTGATCGAATTGAACCAGATGATCTTTTCAGGTAAAAACTTGAATATTTGTATATTTCTAATCAATAAACAGATTATACTTTCATTTGCCTTCACTGAGGCATTAGGTAGGGGCAAAATGTTCTTCCCACTATTGCAATTCAGAAGCTTGCAATGCCTTTGATAGGGGTAATTTCACCAAATGTCTATATGCTGATGACATGATGCTGTATATATTTGACCAACATCCTAGTATTCCCATTTTGATGGAACCACTGGGTAAACTGGGAAAAAAGTTGAAGTAATATTATCACTTATCCATCCATGCATAGAATTTTTTATGTTTTTTTCTTTAATATTAAATATCTTTGACCCCTGGGAGATTTTATGTGTGTCCTTATCAGGATAGCTGAAAACAGATAACTCTGCTCCCTAATATTTTTTTAATAATTCACTACTCTTTGTATTGTTTTTTCTACAAACATCTACTAATTAATTTCCTTTATGTGGACTAGGTTTGTTCTAGAGTTAATGCTTCTGAACAGAATTTTGTTTAAAAAAGCAGCACAGGGTAGTGATTCCACCAGATGTGAGCCTTTACAGACCTAT